GAGCTGCTTCCCGATCCTGAGGACCCGCTCCGGCCGGGAGGTATTCAGAGGGATTTCCTCGACCTCCTCGGCCGGTTCGGCATGCGGCCTCTCCTCGTCCTTGGCAACGGCTGTCGTGATGGTGTCTATCCTCTGGCCTTCCCTCTCGGCCGGCCTCATTAGTTTGAGGTAGCATGCTCTGGCTATCCTCTGGTTTCCTCTGGCGTAGCCGATGCCGTCATTGGTGGGAAACTTCAGGCACAAATGCTTCATGGAGATGATGGCCTCCAAGTCCTCCAGTGCTGGCCGCCCTAGGATCAAGTTGTGGGGGCATTGGAGGTGGACCACCATGAACTCCATGTCAATCTTGGCGCGGTGGGGGCCGTCACCGACCTCCACGGGGAGGACTATCGTGCCCTCGACGTCGATAGAGTCCCCAGTGAAGCCGGATAACGGTGTCTTGATCGGCTTCAGCAGAGCTTTGTCCAGCTTCAGCTGCCTGAAGGTATCCAGGTACATCACGTTGACGGAGCTCCCCGTATCGATGTAAGTGCGGTGGATGATGGAGTCACTGATCTCACACCGGATGACGAGGGCGTCCCTGTGTGATTCCGCACCCAGAGGCAAATCCTTGTCGGTGAAGGTGATCGCCTCCGTTCGCTGCTTCTTCGAATGGGGGGGGGAACGTGGGACACCTCCCCAATGTAGAGGGATTGGGCCCATTTCTTTCTCTGAGTGGCGGAGTCCCCCCCAGTGTTCCCGCCTACGATGAGGTGAATGTGATTCTTCTTTGGCGGGGGCTCTTCGAAGTCCTCGTCGTCACTGAGCCTACCAATCTCCCGCTTCTTCGCAGAGGGTTCGCCCCCATGTTTGCCGGTATTTACCCATGTGTTTTTGCGTGGGCCACCTTTAACAAAGTGGGAGAGTTCCCCCTGGCGAATAAGGCGCTCGATGGCCTTCTTCAGTGTGATGCAATCGTCGGTGTTGTGCGACGAGTTCTTGTGGAACCGGCAGTATGTGCCGCCCTGCTGGATGGCATGGACCTCCTCGGCCGGCCGAGGAGCCTGCTCGATGAGGCCATGCTTCTCGGCATAGTCGAGGATGATGCCGACCGGGTGAGTGAGGGCAAGCCCCGGTCGTTCCAACCTCGGCCGCCAGTGGCGGTCTTTCTTATTCTGTCCACCAGGGCCGTGACGGCCCTGGGCACCCTGGCCGGCCGGGGACAGACCCGGGGCCGGCGAAGGATTTGTCTTCTTGGAGGGATGCCCCCCCTCTTTCTTGTGATTGTGGAGCTCGTCGGCGTCGGCGTACAAGCCTCCGCGCTGGAGCACCTTGGCGTACGACCTCGGAGGGTCGGTGATGAGGCTCCTAGCGTACGGGGAGCTGCGGAGGGCTCCCTGATACAAGGCAAGGAGGGTGCGCTCATCGGCCCCCTCGACTTCTTCGGTCTCCCTCGTCCACCGATCAATGAACGACCGGAGGGACTCATCATGCTGCTGCTTGACGGAGAGGAGGTGGGTGAAATACTTCTTCGCACGCTTCCTCCCGGCAAAGTGGGTGAGGAAGCGTTGGGCAAGATCCTGCCATGAGTCGATGCTCCCTTCGGGGAAGGCCATTGAACCACTCGTACGCTGGGCCCTCGAGAGTGGAGAGGAACCAACGGCAGAGGTATTCGTCGGACGCGTTCACCATGAGCATGTTGTTCTGATAACGGCTGAAATGTTCCTGGGGGTCTGATCGGCCGTCGTACGACTTGATGGCGTTTCCCTTGTACTTCTACGGGATGGGGGCCGAGAGGACCCTGTTGGTGAAAGGGGTCCTGGTCCTGACCTGGATGATGGGGTCACCTCGCCCCTCGGCCAGCTCCCTCTCCAGGGCGCTAACCTTGTTCATGAGCGCGTTGAGGCCGGGGTCGTTGGAGGCGCCGGCCGTAGTGATGTTGGCCGACTGCTTGGCCTCCATCTGAGCCAGCCTCCTCTCCAGCTGGGCAATGACTTCATCCCGGGGGTCCCTGGCGGCCGCAGCGGCGCCCGTCTGGTTCCTCATGCGCTCGTCGTGAGCCGCATTGATCCGGTGGCGCACGTCGTCTTCGTGCAACTTCCCCTTGCCCTTGTCCGGGCGGGGCTGGTCCGCTGTCCGGGACACAGACCCCAAGCTTTCCCTTGGCGAGCCAGGACGAGGCTCACCAATCCGTCCCGCCATCCTCTCCGAAACCGGACGACGGCGCATGTCACCTAGCCTGTTGAAGGCAGAGGCTTTTCCACGCGCTGGGGTCTGCCCAGGCCGAAGAGGGGAAGCAGGGTGGGAGTGGGACGACGCCGTGTCCTGGGCCACCACCCCCTCATCGTTGCCTATCTGGACGGCCAACGGTTGGGGCTGAGGATGCGGAGTGACGTTCCCCCCGGTCCTTGGCAAGAGTGCGCTGAGGACGGTGGGGTTCCGAGCCAGGCTGGCGATGATGACCGACAGCGCGGCCTGGACCTGCGGATCCACAGACGGAGAGGCCGCGGCCATAGGCTGGGCCGGGGCGTGGTCCATCTTCTCAGCTCGTTTCTTGTCCAAGCCGACGCGGGCATCAGGGGCTCCGCCGTTGAGTTGGTTGCGGAGGTCCGTCGTGAGGTTGAAGGCCTCCTGGAAGACGTCCCCCCCGCCGACCTGGTCGGCCGTGGCGTCCTCATCGTGCTCCCTGGCCTCTTGGTCCTCAGGGATGGCCTTGCTGATGAGGTTGCGGTTTGATTTAGTTATTCCCATGATCAGTGGTTAGCTGTGCTTGGTAGCGACAAAGGGTGCTAACTTGATTGTTCTAGCTCTCAACGAGAGCACCAAATGATAGAGTATATCTAGAGAGAAGTGAGAGCTAGAGAGAGAAGTGCAATATGTGCTTCAATAGAATGAATTTTTCACCCCATAACTACTCCCAAGTGGAGTATTTATAGAGAAAATACGGGCTGGGCTCCCAAGCCTTGGGCTTGGGAGGCCCATTTACAACTGGACCGCTACTGGGCCGAATACAAAGCCACTAATGGGCTGTACAAATGAGTAAGTGTAAAATCCGGTTTGTGAGGTCTTCGTGGCCGACGAGGGCACGACCGACGAGGGCACGACCGACGAGGGCACGGCCGACGAGGGCACCCGGGTTCCTTGGGCTCAGGACCATAATCTGAGTTGGCACCTTCTCGGCCGACGGGGGTCCCTTGGCCGCCGTGGGCGCCACTCGATGTCTTGTGATTTCTGTTCTTCTGAGTATGTGGGTCCGGGGGCTCAGGCCCATATACTCCATCAGCTAGATCTGCCCCTGGCGGCCATGTGAAGGTTACAGCTCGTGCTTGTTGGGCTAGACATCTGGTGCGCATGTGTACAAGATCTATTATCATCATTGGATCGACTGAGTCACCATAAGGTCCATAACTAAAATCCTCCCAAAAGTCTTGTAGGTTTGGGACGTGAGGAGTTCTGGATTTATTCATGTTAACATGAGTACTGTGTCCCTAGTTATCTCGGGGAACACACCTAAGTGATCTAAGAATGGAAAATTCCTTTTGTACACGCCAAGTTTTACACGCCGGGTTACACGCCTGTCAAATTGTCTGTGTACAGACAATTTGACGGACTACACAGACATATTGAGCGGCGATTTACGAAGAAAACCGATTTTCACGCAGGCAAAAATAAAAAAAATGTCTGTATCACAGACACTTTATGAAAAAATCAGATCTAAAATGTCTATGATACAAACAACTCTTTATATTTTGTCTGTATGGAAATCGATTTTCTTCATGAAACGCCGGTCATATTATCTGTCTAACCGATCAAATTGTCTGTATACAGACTATTTGACCGGCGTGTAACCCGGTGTGTACACGAAGCGGGACTCTCTAAGAATGATGTTGATAATGAGTGTTGTGAATTCAACCTTGATATATGTGAATGATGATGATGTCAGCAAGGGGTATATGACGCCAGCCCTGCTGTGTAGTGTTGGAATGTCGGATTTGATTGATCATAGAATATGTGAAGAAGCCAAGGCAAAAGTAGCTTCTCTTTAGCCGAGGTGGGAGCGTCTCCTTATCACCCTTGTTGTCCTTCGAGTTCGGGCAATGTACACAATTTTTTTGACTTTTTTTCAAAAATTCATTTGAATGTCTTCCCGATTGAAGTATTAGCTGAAATTTGGTATGAGTTAACTAGACTTAATAATATGCTCAAAAATTTGTATCAAAAAATTCCACCATGAACAGCCCAAAATGACGACAGCCGGACATATCCTCCTATATAAGGGCTTATTTGACCTTTTTTGTTGATATGTAGGCTTATTTGTCTACTTTCTCTTTTTTAACTAGAATGTGGTTTTATATTTGGTCTGGTTGAATGTATTTGTCTGTCAATTGGATCAATAGTCCCCAATGTAAATGGACAACATAAGATCTAAAAACAACTTATTAACGCTTAACGAGTATTCCTAAAATTATGAGTAACAAAACTATTGTCACATACTCTAACGACTGACTAACGCTTAACGAGTCCCCAATAGATAATATGAATAACAAAAGTGTGGTGAGACCAGACATAACTCTAGGGACACAAATTCCAATTATAAACCTAGAGTATATTTACTTTTATCATTACTTTCTTATTTTTGAATAAGGTCTCTCGAAATATACGATTATTTATTACTCTCAACCTTAAATCGATTGTCACGTACTATTTGAACACAAAATCTAAGTAGGATAAACGTCTCCAATAATCCATGTGTAGGTCAAAATTAGTTACCACAAATTTTAATGTTAAAACACACGTGTTACATAAAAATTACTAAAATGGAAATAATCTAAGAAACTTCCATTACTTATATCTCTTAAAAAGTAAAAAACCCGAAAAAAAATTGAAATGAAACGGGCTGGAACTTGGAAGATGTCGGGCGGAATGTAGGCGTACCGTGCATATCGTACTCCCACTGCACCCAATAATTTGCCAACACTGCGTTTTAAAGCCACGCAGTATTCTAATTGGTTAATGCTCGTCACAGTCTCTTCTTTTTCGTTTGGCGCTCACGCGCTTTCGCCTCTCGTGCATATCGAAAGAAGCCTTCATTACTTCTCAAGCTAATCCTCCCACATTCTATCTTCATTTATGATTATGATTATGATACAGAAACATACAATCACAGACGCAGAATTGAGATCTCCTTACATCTAATCCGTGTGCATTATCGAGAGCCATACTGTGGACTTTTCGCCACTCGCGTTCTTGAAATCGCGATTCTTCCTTGCTTTCTGTGAAGACTTCCTGAAATTTTCACGCCGGAGGTTAGTAATATTTGGGGAAAGAAAGAAATAATTCAAGAAAAATGGCGCAAGCTGTTGAAGAATGGTACAAACAGATGCCAATTATCACCCGCTCCTACCTCACCGCTGCCATCCTCACCACAATCGGCTGTTCCTTAGAGGTTTATTCCATGCTTTGCTCAATGTGTGTATATGAAAATGTTTCGGCTGTAATTATCTTTGGAAAGGTCTTTCGATTTGGTGTTTTATTGCATGCGGTTTATGTATTTAGGCTTTTGTGATGTGTCCTTTTTCCGAAAGATTGAATTTATACTTTAGAGTTTACAATTGGAGCTGGGGATGTCGTTTTTTATGCAGATTATATCCCCTTCCAACTTGTGCTTGATTCCTAAACCGGTGGTGAAGCATTATCAGTTCTGGCGCCTTATTACCAACTTTCTCTACTTCCGGAAAATGGGTAATGATCTTCCCTGATGATCAATTAGTAATTAATCCTACTAAAATATAAAGCAGTTCAAGAATATTTTTAAAGTATAAAGAGTGTTCCATTACCTTCTAATCATTCTAAGCATACTGTTGTACTAACTCTGTCTGTTAACAGATTTGGACTTTTTGTTTCACATGTTTTTTCTGGCACGATACTGCAAGCTTCTTGAGGAGAACACTTTTAGGGGGAAGACTGCAGATTTCTTTTACATGCTCTTGTTTGGAGCCACTGTGTTGACTGGAATTGTTCTTATTGGTGGAATGATACCTTATGTCTCGGAATCATTTGCAAAGATCATTTTTCTTAGCAATTCGCTAACGTTTATGATGGTGAGTTATGTTGTTTAGTTGTGCAATCAAAGTATACCTTCTTGCTATTTTGTGGCTTTTCTTTTTAAGCAGTTTTAACTTTTAATCCTTCACGTGTTGTTTACCTCTATTTAATATTAGGTATATGTTTGGAGCAAGCAAAATCCCTTCATCCACATGAGCTTTTTGGGTCTCTTTACTTTCACGGCTGCTTATCTTCCATGGGTCAGTTACTGACTTTTACCTTTTGGCCTAGTATTGGACCACATGAGCAATATACATCTGTAGGTTTAAGCTATGTAGGCTATGTTTTGTAACCAAAAGGGCCTTATTATGCCTATCTGCACTCAGCAGAATAATCATAACAAGCAAAACAAATGGCTTATGAATTTATTCAACTGAAAATTATGTTACCAAATGTTTTTCCTTTCAGAAAATTCAGCATGTTCAGAAATTTCTTCCAAATAAACCTTGAATGTCTGAACATAATTTTATGTTATTTCTGTCTATAGTCCGGCTTATGCTTATTTTGTTTCTTGTAATTCTGGACCTCTTAAACTTTGTGCTCGGAAATTAATACGTTTCAATGTATACACTGCCTACTGTTTAGGTTTTATGGTCTAGAGAGGAACACATTTTAATTTAGTTTATCCTTGCAAAAGTAGTCTCACACATGCACTATAAATGCAGGCATCTGTTGTAGTGTTGTGATTGTGCTGTAAAATGAATAAATGAATGAATGAGTTGGATCTTTTCTTTGTGCTGCAGGTGCTTTTGGGCTTTTCTGTTCTTGTTGGTGCTAGTGCTTGGGTGGATCTATTGGTATACTACTACGCATTTTAATTTTGTTAAATGTAGTACTTATGTTTGTGACAATTTACACTTAGCTGCTTTGAAATTACCCTAATGATTTTCTACTTCTACATAGGTTTTGGTTGTTGTCAAATATAGAATACTAGCTGTTACCCTTTCTTAGATAAATACAATTATAACATCTTCCAGATCTTCATATTTTTGTTCTGCTGTTTGGTATATGGCTGGAGAGCTTCCTTTCCTCTTCTTTTTCTTTAGTTATTTGTGAGTTTTTCTGTTGATTTCAATCCACTCACACCTACAATTACTCTGTTTGACTATTTGTTATGGTCAGGGTATGATTGCAGGCCATGCTTACTATTTTCTGGAGGATGTTTATCCAAGGATGACTGGACGTCGACCATTGAGAACACCTCCCTTCATCAGATCATTGTTTGCAGAAGAACCAGTCGTAATGGCCCGGCCAGCTGATGTCCGTTTTGCTGCTCCTCCATTGGAAGAAGATGATCAACACAATTAAATGATTTCATTCATAAGAGTCTCTGAGTTTGATGTACTAATCTAACTCCCCCTGTTTATGTAAATGTTATTTTTACATGGATGTTTGGTAGAAAACAATATAGATTATCTCATTCGTGAGAGTTTGTCTGGCTATTAAGGTCCTATTTGGTAGCACTAATTGACCTAATCTGCTTATACCCCTCATCGGCAGAATATATGGCCATTGTTACCCCTTTTTTGGCTACCAAAATCTATTTGATTGTGCACACTAAATTGGTCAGTTTTGGTCGTTTAGACTGTTTTTACTTGAATCGTTGAGGTGGATTAGTTCAACCTTTTTCTATGTTTGAGTAATTCAATTCCCACAACTTCTACTTCAAGAAAATTCAAGATTTCCTGCCAAAAACCCGTTACCTAACAGGCTTGAAGATGGGTAAGTGCTTTGTCATTTTCTTTTTTCAGTTGAAGCTGCAAGAAGTGGAGGGCTTGTTCGGGTAAGATTGTTGTAGCAGTACGGTATTATTTTAAGAGTGTTGTTGAAGAATAGCCATTTGGATTTATTAATACTTTTTGATCAATATTGAAAAATATGTTAGCTTTCAATCAAGGATTTGAAATATAAAAACTATTGATTTAGGGCTCAAAGGTCTGATATACTTTCCAATCATCACTTTAATGTTAATGTTTTTATTTAGGGAAAATTCCCGAAATAGGAGTAAAAAAGTTTGAAAATTTCAAAATAGAACCGCCATGTTTTTATTCCCAAAATAGGAGTAATTACTATAAAATAGGGCCCAAAAAATTGGAAGGGCCCAATTTTTTTTAGTAGTATACTACTACCTCCGTCCCGCTATGATTGTTCCATTTTACCTTATCGGTTCGTCCCATTAAGATTGTCTCATACCAAATTTGGTAAAGTTTGTGTGGCTCTAAATCATTCTTACTTTATCAATTCAATATCAACAACATAAACCACATTTTATTAATTTGCGCGTCACTCTCTCTTGTCCCAATGTTAACGGGACGGAGGGAGTATTATTACTTAGGTGGACTGGGGCAAGGCTTTGAAGCAAGCCTGGTTCGACACTTCATGTATTCCTCATCTGCAAAAGAGGACCGTGTATATAGGAACGAAGGAGTAGTAAATTCTCTGTTTCCACCGGTGTGAGAATCTTAAGCTTTAGAAACAAAAAAGAAAAGAAGCGAGACATGCGGGATTTGAACCCAGGTGAAAATAAAAGCATGCACGCTGATTTCTAAACATCAACAACCGGACCAAATCAACTAATTGTTGAAATACGGACGTACAAGTTTTATATTACCTATTTGTTCTACAAAATAAACAATTAAATACCTCTTAATAAAAATCGGTTCGGTTCGGTTTGAACCGATTTTATAACTCAATAAAACCTTCATTAAACCGATTTATGTTCGAGTCCCGACTTTCGGGTCCCGTTTGAGTCGGTGCGGTTTCGGTTAGGTTTTTTTAACTTGTGTTGAAACTTTAAAAAGAAGGCCCAATTATTATTTTTGCACAGGGCCTTCATTTCCTCAGGACCGGCCCTGGACTTTTATTCCTATTTTGGGTAATTTCTTTTTTATTTATTTATTTACGGAGTATCTTCTTTTGTTGAAATTAAAATTTTAACATGTGGAGTACTACCTCTTTCCCTTACAACTTTGCCAAAGTTGAACGGCACGGACAATAATAAAGTAAAAACTGTGTGGTTGAGGTTTGTGCAGAGGAGAGAGAAATAACAGAAACCACAAAATAATTGTTGAAAAGGGAAAGTGGCAAAGTTTTTTGGGACGTCCCAAAAAGAAAAGGTGACAAAGTTTTAAGGGACGGAGAGAGTATTAAATTGTTCAAATCTAAAGAATGTAAATTTTATGATAAGACGTAGATGAGTAGTTTTAGTCATTCAGGTCATATAGGGGTGGACTCGGGCCGGGCCAACCTGCCCGGAACCGGACCGGCCCGCTACTGTGCGGGCCCGGCCCGGCCCGGTGAACCGGTTCCGGGCCCGGTTCGGGCCAACCGGCCCGGTGAGATGGCGGTTCGGGCTCGGGCCCTTCAAAAGGTGAACCGGCCCGGCCGGTTCGGACCCGGGCCGGGTCAATTTTTTTTTTTGAATTTTTTAAAAGTTTTTGGGTTGGACTGGGTATTTTGGGCCATTTGAGGTGGTTAGGGTTGGTTTGGGGGTGAGGGGGAGGGTTGGGGGTTAACTAGGAAAAGCCAAAAAAAAAAAATAGAACCGAGGCCCGGACCCGAGGGTTACCCGGGCCGGTTCCGGGCCTCTCCTTCTTGAACCGAGGCCCGGCCGGGCCCGAATCGAAACCGGTCCATGCCTAGGGTCATATACTCAGTTTTCTTGTCCTTGACTAATAATTTACCAATCTTGGATTGAAATTTTATTACACCACTGGTATGAAACAAATTTTAAGTATTTACTTATACAATCTCTAAATATGAATCCTCTTATTCTTCACTTGCAATTTGAAATAAATATAATTAAAGAATTTAATTAAAAATTAAAATTTTAATCCTTCAAACATTCGAACGTTCTTCAGATCTTCAGATCTTCGAATCTTCATTCGTTGGGTCTTCAAATCTTCTTGAATGAAGAATTCAGCTTGAAGGATCTCTAGTTTCAAATGACTTGATCTTCAACAAAAGGAGCGTTTTATGGCTTGATCTTCTGTTTAAGGTCCTCCTGGGATATATGGTTTGATCTTCAATTGAATTTCAGTTCAATCTTCATATGAATATCTTCAAATCTTCAAAGATTCGTTCTTCATATCTTCGAATCTTCAAAGTCTTGTTTTTCAGATCTTCGAATCTTCAAGCTTCGTTCTTCAGATCTTCGAACGTTCTTCAACTTTTGGATTTATTTTATCAAGAATCGACGAAATCGAAAAGGATTATTCGTATATTCTTAAAAAAAAATTGTGCCTTGATCTCTTCCTCTTTTTCGGAATCGTTCAGAGCCTTTCGGGAGTTTTTGAGAGCTTTTCTGCAGCGTTTCTTCGTCTGAAAATTCTCCCCTTCTTCCTATCAACTGAGACCCCTATTTATAGGTGTGGAGGGGATAAAATATGGTCTAGGATTGCAGAAATTCGTCCATACCACTTGGACCTTAGTTAAAATGGGCTTCTGGCTCCATTTGCTTGCATTTTAATAGCTAGAAAAATCAGCATTTATGCAATTTATCTGGACGGTCTTTTTAACAAGGTTCATGGCTGTTTTCTATGCATATGCAAGGATTTCTTAGCCAGATTTGTTGCCCTCTTTATCAATTGGATCATGTTTCTTATTATATATTGGGCCGCTAGTTGATAATGGGCTCAAAATAGGAAAATTAATAGGATCAGTTCATTCATTTCGAAGAATTAAATTAATTGGATATTCAAATGATCCGAATTAATTAAATTATATGTAAATGGATCCATAATAATATTTTCCTTTTGACAAAGCCCAACAACTATTACGAGCAGTCCGGTAGAATCCGATTTTGATAGTGGCCCAATAAGATATAATATAGTCTGATAGCATTTAAGAGACCTCGATAACTGCCGTAATTGGGCCAATAATTTTTATATGTCCACAAATGCCCCCTCAAGATTCGCTTCAGCGTTTATCAAACGAGAAAGTAATTCTCGATTACGTGTGGATCTAAATCATTTTACTTAAAATATCTCTTGTATGATGAACTAAGCCCAAAAATAATATCCATGACACTACGGAATTAATCCCCTTAGCAATAGCGGGACACGGGTTCCATTAAAAATAAATCTTATCGGGTCTCGACTTTCATCTTCCATTAGGATTTAGGATTCATACGTCAGGATTTTTTTTAATATACCAAAGAATCCAGCTGGTTTTGATATCCTATTAGGACTTTAGCTCTTAATTTCCTTCTAGCACTTGAATTACTCCACCCGTATGTATAAATAACATGGCATCCTATTATGGCTGCCATGTTATGCACTTGCGAGCCATCAAGAGATATCTATCGAGAGTTTAGCTAAGGTTTTCAGGGGGCGGAGATTAAAGATACTCTGTATCATTATGTAAGTTTTCCTCTTCATTCTTCTTAGCTTTTTTTTTGTTATGCTGCAGGGCTACGTTAAGGCTCAAATTCAGATGTGGTCGTGTTCGGCAATTATCATGGTGGTCAATATTCAGTTGAAAATTGCTGGTATTGTGGAACTAATCAAGCTCCACTCATACTGAAGAGTTGACGTGGCACTCTGTTAGATAATCAGTTGTATACAGTTAGATAGTTGACTTAATTTGTAAATATATATATATATCAAGTCTGAACACTTATAATGATACGTTTTCTGAACTATCATTCTACCGATTCTCTATTTTCATCTTTCTGGAATATCTTCCTTTTTGTTCTTCAATCTCCATTGTTGCTAAGCTGTAATATGCCCTTCAATGGAGATTAGTTATTTTCATATGGTATCAGAGCCACAGTATCAGTAAACGATCCAATACATATCACTTGTTTCTCACCGATGACGTCAATTTCAAGTTATCGGAACTTCTCTTCGATCTTCATCGATAATCTGAATTTATAGATAATCCGAATTTCTAGTTTCGATCTTCGTTTTCTGAAAATGCCAGAAACTACGGATTCTGAGTCACATATAACTCATAATTCTCAGAATTATGATTCTTTGATGATCCGCTCTTCCTTTCTTCCTCGGATCAACCTAATATGAAGCTTGTAGATAATCTGTTTGATGGATCAAACTTTCTCTCATGGAAACGTGACGTCACTATGGCTTTGGCATCGAAGAATAAATCTGGATTTCTTGATGGCAAATGTTCTGCACCTGACAAGAAAGACAAAAGGTATCATCAATGGCTTCGTTGTGACCTAATGGTTATGAAATGGCTGCTTAATTCAATGGATAAAGTCATAAAAGAAAACATGTATTCTAACACATCTAAGGAACTGTGGTCAGAAATTACAGAAAGATATGGTCAAACTAATGGATTGGAAATTTATCATATTAAGAAAGAAATAAGTAATCTTACACAAGAAAATCAACCGTTGATTCATTATTACAATAATCTGAAAAGGAAATGGGAGGATGTTGATAGCCTAGATCCTGTACCAGACTGTACTTGTGGAGCACTCAGTCTTTGCACATGTTAGTTATTGAAACGTATTCTGGATAAGGAGAATCACTCAAAACTCATTCAGTTGTTAATGGGACTCAATTATGGATATGAGAATGTGAAAAGTACTATTTTGACCATGGATCCACTTCCACAGATGAATAAAGCTTTATCACTTCTGCAGAAAATTGAAAGG